TGCATAGACCAATATGAATGAGATAATTTCATTAATTTTTTTATAAATTATATTTATAATTATGATATAAGTATGGACCAGATATAAACATTTAAGTTTATCCCCCCTCACTCGAAAAAAAGAATAATAAACCAAGAGGAAATGTGTTAAGCTATTATACACGCACTTAACGTTTAAACCGTGGATGCATTGAATTTAGACACACGACGGTGAGATAAAAAACTTTATACTTTTTTACACTTATGAGTTAATATTTACTACATACATCAAAATATAATTTACATTTATACAGAAAAAAAATTATTGTCAATCGATTAATAAGACAAGAAGAATAAATAAAAATTAAAACCGTATAGGTAATAGCAATATAAATAATAATTGTTTTTTATGCATTATGGTTTATTGTTTCTGACTTTTTGTTCATGAAATATTCTGCTCAAAGTTTTTTCGTATCATACAGTTCTAAAGTAAACGCCCTTATTTCGTAATAATTATCGTCCATTATAGTTGTATACTGATAATATGCAAGTTTCTAATTACATACATTTACTTATGCTATATAATATATTATAGGACTGTATAAAGGTGCAATAATTAAAAAACATAGCACGCTATTTTATTCGGAACACAAAAATAATATTATATTGAATTATGCAAATTATAAAAATTGTAATTTTACGTATTCGTGTTGAATAGATTTATACTAAGAATGGGTTATAAACTCACATAATCGACTAATCTATTTCAACAAGTTTATACTATCATTAATATATATTGTCATTCATATAAATGTCTACTAAGCATACTAACCATACAAAACATAGTTCAAAGATATTTATTTTAAAGTAGCCATCTTGAATAGTTGTTATCGTGCTTGTTATTTTGATTTTTTTTTTCTGTATAAATGTAAATTATATTTTGATGATGTATGTAGTAATAATATATCATATGTTAAGCTGCTTGAAATAACTCGTGCAATAAAATCAAAAATAAATATGAATTTAATTCGAACGACAAAACGCTTATTATAGGTATCTGCTAATAAAATATTAATCRGATAGAATCAGACAATCATTCATGAATAGTTAGTTAGGCAGGTGCTATAAAAATAATGAAAGTGAAGGTTCTCAATGTAAACATAATATATTATATTAAACTTGTATATTATAATATAATTGGTCAGAGATATGAAATATAAAAGTGTATAGTTGTTTATACATATTATAATGATTTATATCCATTTATTAACTTGTAAATGCAATTATTGAAGGACTTTCAAAGAACTTAGTATCGGAAATGTGTAGTATTAAGGGTACACGGGCATTAATAACACTGTTAAATCKAACGTATTAATTTGTTTAAGCACTACCTATCAAATATATAACATGATTCTAAGGACATTTTTCGATAATAATTATTGTGTACACTTTGATTTATTAAATATCGCAGTGATTTGAAATAACACATTAAATAGAACCGGCTTTTTTTATTTTGATCCGAATATGAATATTCAATTAACTTTTATCAAACGTAATCTCTATGACAAATGACACGTACAAAAAAACCAAAAACTGAGGTTTTTTTTAGTTTTATTTATAAATTTGAGGATTACCTCTAACTTGTTTAGAATTATAAATATTCGTAAATGTATTTAAATCTTTAGTAAAATCACTAATATATTTTGTTTTTTTTTTTGGTTGTATAAATATCTTTCAACAACTTTTCAAACAATGATTACTTATCAGTGAGATTACAGTGATCTATTTAATTGGTGTTATAGCAGTGGTATTATAACTTCTCTGAACTTACCATATTCAGAACAAATATTAAATTKCATATATCGTTATGAGTTCTCGCATTCTTGCTATTGTTATAAATTTCACGGACTAGATGGTAATATATTTGGTACAATCTAATTTTTTTGAAGTTTGAATCACGGAGTAATAAGTTTTGAATGGATTGTGATGCCAAGCGTTTTAGTTGCCATTGTGGGCGCGGGTGGTCTTCAGTATAGTCAATACAGTGAAAATACTAAAATGCAATCAAAATATGGGGAAGTGGGATTTTACAGTTTTTGTATTTTAATATTTGTATAACATAATTTTAAAGATTATTTACTTCAGAATATGGTTAATTTACAGTTTAAAATACATGAACATCAAAATGTTTTAATCGTTTATGATCAATAGCCTGTTTGACATCTGATGAAAGTCTATGTATACTCAATTGAAATTGAGTAATTTTGTTCAACTCTTAAACAGAAATTTAATTCGTCAATAATTTGAATTCTGTGCAGGGTTTAAATCAACAATTATTTATCTCGTATAATAGATGTTTAAAAATTAAATTTAATGAAATATCTTTAAATATGAAAAACGATTCTGATTTGAGCGGYGTGTCAACTTAGTATATATATTATTATTATTATCATTAATCATAAATTTCGCTTTTAGTATTAATACCTAGATAGGTCGAATTAAGTTTTGCAAAAAATATTACATTTTAATATCTGTTCTATTAAAATTATCACAGCCATTTTCGTCACTATATGAATTAAGAATTATTGATTGCAACATTAAACTATGTTAATGTGAATACCTATATTGATTTTTGCAATAAACAAACTAGTTATAAACTATTTTTGAGATAACTTGTATTAAACTCTTATGCCTTAGCTGTAAAAATACTAAAATTTTATAAATGTTTAGTTACAAAATAATTTGCGAATTTTCGTGATTAATGAGTTTTGTCAAAATCTTAAAAAAWTTTAATTTTTATGAAAAAAAAATCACCCTCCTATACTTTTAATATTTTTAAGTAGGTATAATAACAACTCATAAATTACCTTGTACTAAATTTTAAGATTGTCTTATTATTTGGTGACCTTAGTTACAAAAAATATTTTTATTARGTATAATACTTAAATTAATAAATTTTGACTAGTCTTCGTACTTTTTAAATGAATATTTTTAAATACTTCGAATTTTCAAGTTTTCTTCTCAAAGATACTWACAAAGTTTCCAATTTTCTACAAAAAAACCTAAACCAAAGTTGATGATCAGAAAATTTTCTCAACAAAAAATAGTTTTTTTTCTAATAGAAAAAAAAACACATCATCGTTAAATCGATCGCTAAGCTCAGGATCTAAAAAAATTATATTCCTTATTCCCTATTAAATAACTAGTTCAAAGTTCTATTTTTGCATTTAATTTAAATTTTGTGATATTAAGTATTTTGAACTATATTCTTACAATTTCATTCCACAAAAAATGAACATTAACAACAATGCTTAATATTAGAAAGTTTGAAAATGCTATAACAATTAAAGTTAAGCGTTTCGTACATAGAAATAATAGTACACGGCTTTTATTCACAGTCGATTTGAAGAATAATTCTGAATCAATAATAATAATTATTATTACTATTATATTTAATTGTTAAATTAGTACAATAATAAACTATAGTTTAATCAGATATAATAATAATACGCAAAATTCACTATTTCAGTATTATAATATTTCGAGACAGTCGATACCTAATAATATATTATAATATACAACTTAAAGTAGTCATAAAAACTGTTTATTTAAGTAGCTATCTATAATTATTATAACTTTAAATAGATTTGCTTCAAATATAAAATTATCAATCCATGGTAAAAACTCACGAAAACTTTCTGTTTGAATTTCGATCCACTTGTTATACGAGTGAATTTTCTCGCTGGAAAATAATAAATCACTTAAATCAGTACTAATGTATCATATGTATATTATTCTAAGCTATTCATTATATTTTTAGCGTAAAAAGGGTTCTACGAGGAATGCCGAATTCAGTAGGATAATGTTTTTATTTTAAAGACACTTCGTCAACTATTAAAATACATTTCTTGGATAAAGTCAGCTTCAGAAATTTTTGATTTTCTGTAATACTTTAGTAGGAAACGAGTTTAAAATACATTTGCACCGCAGTTACCTCATACGTATAGCTGAATACCACATAGAACTTTGAAAATAAAATTCAAGTCGTCGAGATTTAATGGTTTTATTTTTTCATGTKATGCAGTGTAAAACACCTACCTAAAAAAGAATAAAAATCAACTATATCGATTAAGTACTTAATACATCAAGACTAAACCGTGTTAATATAACATGCAAGTTGTATCAAAGTCGGGGACAGTTATATTTTAAAGTTAACAGTTATTTATAAAAGAGCGATTATGCGTATTTGATGTCTCTGCAACTCCCGTTGAGTGTTTAATAATAATTATGCTAAACGGATTTTAAACGAAAATCAATCAATTATACATATTTAAATTGTTGTGCTTATGAAAAAATGTCTTTTTATATAGTATCCACATTTTTATATGTAGCTAGGTATCTAGAACACTTTTTGAAAAGATAAATTCACAAACATTTTTTATTTTAAATATTTTTATAATCACGAATGTCGAATAATGTGTTAGACAATGAAACGTGAAATAACAAAAAAAAAAATATATCACCGCGATAGTGAAGCATTTTTGGTAATAATTTTTGAAAACACAATTATATGGATGTAAAGAGGGCTTTTTGAAGATAAACAAAAATGCATCTCATATTATTACAAGGTATGYTAATTTATCCGAATCGGAGACTGATCGTCGTGACTGCTGCAGTGTTCGCGRGTGTGTGCATACCTACTCGACACGTAAACTCCGGTCCAGTCGATGACGGGTGACCGCGAATGTAAAGGGTGACGGTACAAACGGACGACGAGAGTGGGCACGTCGGGCGAGATTGTCGGGCGCAAAAGGGCAGGGTCGCGAGTCGGGCAACAATATAATATCGTATCATTGTCCTCAACGCCAATTCGTGTCCCCGGGGCGACTTCCGTGTGCGACCGACGCCTATAATAATTATTATTATTATTATCACTATGTTATACCGCCACCGCAGCGCGCGACTAAGGTCAAAACGATTTTTTTGTTTCCCACAAATCGTGTATAAATACCMATGCGGTACCCAACCGATCAACACAGCATTGTCGATCGACAGTCCTAGTACTTCTTACTACGGTCGTGCGATTACGATTTAGTGCGTTTATCTGAGTCTTAGTGGTCTCGTGTTTCACGTTTCTAGAAGACAACGAAGTMGTTCAAAACATCAAGAAAAATGAATTCCAGTCTATTGGTAAGTGTTTTAGAACGTTGTTACATTTATTTAATCGTCACCGTCAAGCGCCTTTGACATACATGCACACTATACCATAACTCTTGGTAAAAGAACAAACGAGCTTTTCGGTTTAACGAATGAGAAACTGGCGTAAATCATTTTTCTTGRCACCATGAAGGGACGGGGTCCACAGATTTAACAGCCCGGCATCCACCCGTCATCATTAATCGTCTGCTACTGCAGTGTTCCAAACTTGTCACTCTATTCACAGCTACTTTATGACGTGTTAAACACACAATACGTATACAGCGCTGCAGATTCGTACTGATACGTCGAACGTCCAGAAATCTCGAATTGTTCGTTATCTCTAACGCGATGGAAATCCCTTGTTTTGGAAACAATATTGCTACCACGTCAATCAATGAGACTCGAACTCCAGAACTCGAGATCTAGAACTCTTTTAATGTTCCATTTGAATTTTGACATCGTATAACGATACAGAGTATTAGAGTTAGATACTATACCTAAAACATAACCACAGCTGGTTTGTCGTATCCACAACGATCYGCCACGAAATACGCACTACATAGATGATCACCACCAAATTAGAATGAYGGGAGAGGGGGTTGTCAACTGCRTCCACTTCCGGGAATCCGCTGCACCGGCGATGCGTTTTCTACTCGCGACTGCAACCGTGCATGATATTATATAACCGTAATTTATCATTACGATTATTATGCATAATTAATTCGAGTACGGCCTCGCGACAAGGCCAGCGGTGTACAGCTGTGAGGGGTGTTTTTCGATTACGTCTGCGGTGCTTACGTTATATATTATGCATTCGTRGCGTGGAAATAATAATTAATCYCGGTGTCGAAAATCGGCTTAAAAATCGCCTCGGCCGCTGCAGAGCACCGCCATAATTCTTTAAAATTGCTTGTGGCGTCTGTGCGTCTAATGTTTGCTTATAATTTAAACGGGGCGGCATTATACCGCCATCGTCGCAGGGCCCGAATGGCGTGTGCGGTCAATCATCAAAGTTCAAGCAGTTGTATTGCTCATTATGTACCACTGCACTGACCGTGTGTGTGTGTGTGTGTGTACCTATATGTATACAATCTACTTGTAGTAATAGAAATATATATATATATAGCATAGGCGCATGTTACTGCAATCGTTTAAAAATAATACATTATCGTAACGTAGTAGGTACAGCCCTGAGGAAAAAAGATTGGCCGGAAAACTCGCGAGACGAAAACGTTTTCCGTAGACGAGTTTTCCGGAGTGTGGATTCTATCAGGCGGCAAAGATCTTCAACGATTCGCGATCTTTTGCACACGATCGCTGAATTCGCAATCGGCAAATTCACGAAACACGTTCGTAGGTTCTTAACTATATAGGCACAGTAAAAAGAACACACGATCKTACCACATCAATGGTGTGAGACAACCAAAAGACGATATTATAATATTTTTAAAAAAGCTTTCGTACACGGCCCATGCTTGTGTCCACCGTGGGGTCGCCGATAATTATCGAACGTGCACGAGAGGAAATATTAATAAAACTCGCGTCTTCAGGCACTTAACACCCCTCTCCATCCTCAATCGCATTTTACGAGTTGTTTTTTGTTGATACGTGTTTGTTATCACACTCGGAAATATCATTTAAATGCGTGCGTGCATAAAACAATGCCACTCATTATAAATAGGATACCACATGTAAACTTAATGAACTTAATCACAAARTGACCGTCCGGAGCACGCATAAAACCTATGAAAAAAAAAACCGTCACCGAAACTAGAAATAAAGTTTTCATTTCATGTGTGTTTTTTATTTTTGCAGTTTTTCGCAGCAGCGGTTGTGACGGTCGTCAGCGGAAGCGCAGTGTACCCACTCCCAGTGCACCACGCTCCGGCTACCACCCAATACCACTCACAAGATGAATTAGGACARTACGCGTACGGTTACTCCGGTGGCCCGTCGTCCAAGCACGAACAGCGCACCGCGGACGGCGTGACCAGCGGTGGTTACTCGTACGTGGACGCCAACGGCATCGTCCAGTCACTGGCCTACGTGTCCGACCCGGTCAACGGTTTCCGCGTGAGCGGCACCAATCTGCCCTCAGACTCCAACACCGCCCACCACGCCGCCTTRCCCGTCGTCCACCACGCCGAAGTGCCAGCACCATACTACGTGCCCGCCGCCGCCGCAGCACCTGTGCTTCCAGTCGCCTCTTCCTACTCCAGCGTCGTCCACCACCATGAAGCTGCCGCGCCGATCATTGTCAAGAGCCCGTCGTACTACGTGCCTGCCGCTCAYCCACTGATCAAGTTGGCCAAGCCACTGACGCCCGCCAGCACTTCCAACGTCCACTATCCAGAGCACGCCGTCCTCCTGGCCGCTCGTAAGAAGCGTAGCGCTGGACTTTACCCTACACTGGTCTCCGGTTACTCGGCCGCTCCCGCTCACGTCGTCACCGTCAAGCACACCGAATTCGCCGCCCCACCGACGCCAATCGTCCACCACTTGGCCGCCCCAGCACCGTACTACCTGGCCGCCGCCCCAGCACCCGCTCCGGTGGCCACTTCCTACACCAGCGTCACCCGCCACCACGAACCAGCTGTGGCCTCAGTGCTCACTTACGCCGCCCCGGCCCCACACGTCTACGCTGCCCCGGCACCACACGTCTACGCCGCCCCGGCACCACACACCGTCTATGCCGCTCCGGCCGTAGCAGTGGCCCCGGCCAAGAGCCAATTCCACTCACAAGACGAACACGGTCAGTACACCTACGGTTACACAGACGGTGCATCCGCCAAGACCGAGACCCGTTACGCTGACGGTGAGACCAAAGGAAGCTACTCGTACGTGGACGATCAAGGATCAGTCCAGGCTGTCCACTATTCCGCTGGCGCTGAAGGTTTCAAAGCCGCAGGAACCAACATTCCTGTTCACCACGTTTAATGATCTGCAAACTCCGCCTACCCCCRTGCTGATCGAGTAACATATTGTATACTCTATTGCATAGTCYTCCCTTCTTTTTCTATACCTACATATAAATAATAAACATTTTTTATGGAATTCTTGTACTTTTTGTTCCCTCAAACTACTTTAATACATTATGAGGGCCAGTTGTACCATCTACGTTTAAACTTCGATTATACTTAATCAGCTGATAATAGATATTTAGCCGTGCAAATTTGGCCTATTACACTCCGGTTAACTTTAATCAGAGATAGTACAACTAGCCCTTAGACGACATACCACAATGATATTGGGCTACACGCACACATACACAAGTATGCGGTTCTTGATCACCCTTATCTGCAGGCAAAGTAAGATTCTAAGATACTATAAGTGTAAACATATTATAAGGCAGTGTTATACCTACATTGTCAGGTCATGTCATAATTTGTTGTCGTTACTTAAGCTCTGAATAGCATTACGCCGTGTCTTACGCGAATCCGGCGAGTGCGGCGAAAAATAAAACCATTTGTATTTCACCGCATCGGACGCACCGCACTGTGGTGGAACAGCATGGTCATATTAATATAATTCGCATGCACTCGCCGGATCCACKCAGRACACGGCGTTGCAATGATTATCATWTAAATTTAGAACTAATCGTGGTAACGCATCWATAATCTAACCACTATAGACATTTTTTTAAATAGATATAARCTTTATTAAGCTCTTATCACGYGGTAATAGTCGTAATAMTAYATACAGCATATTAGGTAACTTTTAACATAGRCACATATAGTACACTAGTCACTGAACTAAACTCAATTCAAAAAGTTATCATACACTATATACACTAGAAAGTAGAAAGTATACTAGAACATACCTTAAGTTTTAACGTAAAAATAAATAATTAACGATGATCGAAAAAGGTGAGTTATTACRATTAATTTTTTTTCATACATTTTAGATTTTATTAAAAAACAATAAATAGATATTCAAAACAGCATTAAAAAATATTGTTAAGATTACAGTATTGAGATTGACTGAAAATATTTCTATACGTATATAATACTGGAATAAGCAATGCGGAAAATAGGACATGTTCTGCTGYTGCCAAAAACTTTATACTCCCAAGCATGATTCCATTAATCAGTATATTTTTTATTTTGTTATTCACGTGGATCTAAAAAGTAAAAACTAGTATACAAGCTACTTTAGGACTTTGGGGTTGACCCTCCCCCCACCTTCTACCAAAAGTTATCATGATTACGTACTTGGTTATTATATTTGCGATGAGGGACACTTGAGCGTTCTACAAACTTATTTTTATACCTGTAATTCTCTCGAGGTGCTACGTTATTGCATTTAAACTTAAAATTGATTTCTGTAAAAAAAAAGTCTGAAGATAAAATTATAATTGCAGTACATTATATAATAGGTATTTTACATATTTATGTCACAAATATCCTAATTACGAATATCCTAATTACGAATATCTCGTAATTACGAATAAGATATTGTATGATTGTACGAGTATACGGGCGTGTATTTATAGGTGGACAGGTGGTATACTTGAATATTATGAGAGCCGATAGGTACGTATCTGAATATTTAATTTTTAACTCCAAYAATTATGTTATTTACAGATAATAATACATATTATACCGAGAAATAGCATCAAACTTTGATATTAAAAAATAATCATTCAACGGTTTAAAAAGCAATTTACGTCATGATGAGAGTAAAGAACAAAGTAATTTACATAAAATTAAATATAGTTCGTAAATCAGAGGAGTCTGTTAATCGTGAGATCGTAAACTTTAAGGAGTGCAACAAAAAAAATATCTTAAAATTATTATTAAACATTAAATYATTGTATAGTCAGAAACTCAGAAGTCAGAACTACTAGAAATGATTTCGTCAAAATCCAATAAAAAATATATMTATTTAAGGAAATGATGGGATATCAGCTATAATAAGAATAGCTGCGAGATTTCAACGAACTCTACATAATCGTCAATCTAGCACGTTTAAAATTTGGTCACAATAATTTTATTTACCATATTATACATTTTATTTTTGTAGAAATATATAATTTTTTGTGCTAAAGAGATAAAGTATCAGAATTTCTAAATAACGTTATTAATTAAAACTTTTCATTACGTCAGATTGTATAAGTTATACAACGACGCAATGTAWCAATTTATATGATACACATTAAAATATTTTTAAAAACTTAATAGTTATATATTATATATAAAAATAATGTAGTTACGTTAATGACATAGCTACATACATAAGTGGAAAATTCAAAATTCAAATATAAAAAAACCACAGATCTCAACAACTGTTGCATAACTCGGTTTTAGGTACCCAGTCAATTACATAAATTAATTTTAAAATATGTTAGCAATATTCAACTTCATAATTTAAACACAATTAAATTTAAAAGTTTATTTTTTACATTTTGATATTTCTTAATGACATTACCGATATTAATTAAAAAGGTTTCTGTTGCAGTGGATTATTTCGAAAAGTGATTTCTTAAAATATTATGAACTTAACATCAATTTATTATAATGGACTTTATTTATTTATATATTACCGATTTAATCTTAATATACGTCTTGTTTATGCAGTATAAAACACATAATATATTATATTTTAATAACGATTTTTGTAGCTATGATATTTTGTGGCCAAACAATATAATATGGGCTTTTTTTATTAACAGACAAATGCGCATAGGTATTATGATACGCCGTTATCTGTAGAAGGACGTATTTCGTTCTTTATCTTTTTGTCATTTACAGCAATGTTTATGGAAGTTTTTTCGCATAATTTTTGAGAAAACACAACGTCTTACAATATCGTATTATATATATATATATATATATATAAAACAGGTGTTGGTACGTAATTCAACGCGGGAAATAAGAAATACCTACCTACATTTTTTCTAAATTAAACGAAAAAAATCTTACCACCGCATGAATTCCTCCGGTTTTAATACAAACCAACATGAAAAAGAAAATTATCGTCTCACTGACAAGATGTATTCGAGAAAAAGTCTCAGCAGCTAGTTCGCTATGTGAATCCCGCTAATGTGCGTGAAATAATAAATTTCGGTGAAAAGTTAGAAAATCGCGTGGGCTCTGTATGCTTGTCGGCTGAAACCCGCCGTCAAATCAGAAAGCTCCACAGAGAGGGTGGTGGTGGATAAGAGGGATGTGGGATAAGGGGTGGATGGCGTACACTACATTATTATACTAAAATAACATTATATGTATGTATAAGTATAACACTATGCGTATACATAGTACAACGACTATTATACTTTACTGTATAATATAATAATGTTATTACGGTAATAAATCAAAGGGCACACAACTAGTGCTGTTGCTGTTGCGCTCTTTAATGTGTGCGTGTGTGTGTGTGTGTAGTGCTAGCGAAGGGCGTGAGAACGAACAACCGCCGATAATAATAATAATAATATCATTATCGACACGAAAATGTGTATCTGTAGGCCAGTTGTAGTACAATGCTTCTATCATTCGAATGGAATTCGCACCCACATATACGAATATATACATTACATGATAGTACTACAACTACAATTTCTACACTACAATAATATAAAACAAACAAATATGTGGTTTTCGTCTTTTGTATGATAATATTATGATATCACACACTCTCTCTCTCTCTCACACACACACACACACACACGCACACACTGACGCAAACTCATATATAAATATAAATGTACTTAGATATAGTTATGTATTATTATACTATTGTGTGCACCTATAACATATAATATTATATGTATATATAAATATCGATATGCATGTTTTCGATTTCAATAGCTCACAATAAACGCATATTAATTGCACACGATAATCTGTATATAAATAGTAAATACACACATGCACATACCTACACACTTACATGTCATGCTACACGTGTATGACGATGAATATAATTTATATATACGGCTAAATGTCTGGGGGTAGTATGTATATAGTGTATTTATATCAGCATAGCTTTTGTCTGCGCATCGCTGTTATTATATTATATATTATTACGAAGGGGGTTAACGAAATGTATATTCAACCGATATCTATTGCGCGCGCGGGTTTGTGTGTGTGTGTGTGTGAGTGTGAACATGTTATTTTCCGACCAGTTGGTCCTGTCGATCTTGCACTCGTGCTGTTGCCCATATACGCAAGATCTGCAGAGACCACAGACACACAAGTACGGGGCTACATGCACAGTCTGCAGGTGGTTTAATCTGRCACATATCGCCAGACAATTACGATTTTGGAAAAACGATTTAACTTAGCTAGYCTCACCTAGAGGCTGTAGAACTTTTCCGAATATTTTCTATGACAATCTTGCCGTTCCTCAGCGCTCTCGTAACATCCAAGCGCTCAGCGATGAAACGCGGCTGTAATAATAAATAAAAATAAAATAATATAGTGGTTATAAGTATATATATTATACAACAGTATTTTTATATAGRTACTTGATAATATACTTATACTCAATATATCCTTGATATCAATTAGAAATAGTTTTTCTATCATACCTATCGCATTGACTGTAGTCTCCRTTGCAGATTTTCTATAATATTATATACCAGAAAAACGTAACGACAACAATAATTCGAATAATCATCTTTAGGAATTTGCGATTCGCTCAGAATGACGACTACCTAAATTTAGTGAACCGTGTGTAACACAACTACTATATACATTCATTGCTTTTGAAAATATATTCAAATATCCAACAATTGTATTTGAATTTAGCTTATCAAATTATATACTGGCTGACGTGGGGAGTGCAATAATTAATTGTATATAATTCATATTCGAAGCACATTAAACATTTTTTTTTTATGTACAATATTATTACTGACTATAGTTGGTGTCCACGTGGTGCAGATAAAAAAAATTTACGAATTATTGAAATAAAAATAAAAATATTATAATTACTAATGTTATCATTTTTTCGATCAATTCCATCATCTTTTGTTTTTTTTTAACTCATAGTCTAACTTTACAAGTTTTTTTACGAACCGTTATATTGCTAAACTTGAAATATCGTTAMAATCG